TAAGTCTCTTACTGGTTCTCGTATTAGCTACATGTGTAACAAGCTCGGTACATATGATGTGTAAGCACCGGCTTGCGGGGGAGTGTTAGTTTACAAATATGTATAGTGTAGTTTTGTCCCACATTGGAAGAGGAGTAATATCTCTTTGTAGTGTATACCTATAAATAGGGACCTCTTGTATTGTATTTATCATCTAATATCAATAACATATTTTCTCCCGTGCCTTCTCACAACACATTTATGGGCATGTATTTCCTAGTTCACTAACTTGTCATGGCTATTACTCTGTACCTGCATTGCTGACAGGTTGACGGTTATCTTTTCAATGAGGAGGAGAAGCGCTACGTGAAGATCATCTGGGAAAAATTGAACCCGGAATATGAGGTGATTCTGTTAATTTCTGTGCAAATCACCATGTAAAGTCAGTATGAAAGGTTCTACAGTGGTCTTGGGATTTATAAAAGGGAAAAGGTCCAGATTTACCCCTGTGCTATTGTAAATAATCCACATTTTTCATCCGTTATACTTTCCATCTAAATTTATTCCTACCGTTAAAGAAGTAAACAAATTTTCCCTCATCCTAACGGTTGTCAACAGTGACACCACACCCCTCAATTAAGAGTCCATGTCACCATTTTTTATAATATTTTATTTATTGCACTTATTTACTAAATCAGAAAATTTTTAAAAATCCCAAAAAGTGCAGCTGCTTCTTCCTCAATGAGTTCATTTTTGCTTTAAATATTTCGGAAGGGAGAATGGGGGAAAATGGTTTTAAAGTGTTAGGGAAAAGTTTTTTTTTTTTTTTTTTTTAAAGTTAAAGGTGTTTGACAAGCTTTTTAAAAGAAAAAAAGTATTTTTGAGTAGAAGCAGAAGTAGTTTCTGAGGAGTAGAAAAAAATAGTTTCTTCTCAAAAATATTTTTTTGAAAAGCACTTATGAGAAAAATACACTTATAAGCACTTTTGAAAAGTCTGGTCAAACACTAATTGCTGCTCAAAAGTGATTTTCATATTAATTAGCTAAACACAAACTGATTCTCACCAAAAGTACTTTTTTAAAAAGCACTTTTTAAAAAAATACTTCTCAAAATAAATAAATTTTAAAAGTTTGGCCAAACATACNTCAAATGCAAAAAGAAATAAAAAGTAGGCTAAATAGATTTAAGTGGCTTATTTTTTTTAAAAGATATTATAAAAAATGGTGACATGGACTCTTACGTGGCATTTTAATTGAGGGGTCGGGTGCCACTTTGGACAACCGTTAGCGATGAGGGCAAATTTGTTTACTTCTTTAACAATAGGGGAGCATCTAGACGGAAAGTATAACGGAGGATAAATATAGACTATTTATAATAGTACACGGAGGATAAATGTGGACAATTTATAATAGTACAGGGGTAAATCTTGACCTTTTTCCTTTATAAAAACATTAGAAAGTACGTGAATGAATATAATGTTGGTTCTCGATACTACTATTAGCAATAATAAAACACTTGTTATGCCATATCAATTAGATTTAGTTATTCTTAAGCATGGATTTTTGGGGATTCTTTGGTCTCTTCTACTAAGTTGTTGTGGTTAAGGGCAATGTTTTCAAAGGTTCATTCAACGCGCGCTTAAGCCCTGAAGCTCAGAAAAACTCAGGGAGGGCGCTTCGCCTTGCTTTAACTGCGCTTCAGTGTAGGCAAGGCACTAAGGCGTGCGTCTCATTGCCCATGGGTTCTATCTTGAAACCAACGGTACTAGACAACAAATATAATCGGCAAATAAGTGTAGTAGTTGTTGAGGAAAACATTAGGAATGAATTTGTTTTTTTCCCTTGAATTGCATATATATTTTTATTTTTATCCTTCATTGCGCCATTTTTTACTAAAGCCCCCACTTTAGTTGCGCTTAAAGCCCCAATAGAGCTGGAGCGCTTTTTAGAGCTTTTTGCCTTTGACAACTTAAGCAACGAGTGTGTTGCTACCCTGTTGCTCCCTTTGGTCCATCTTCATGATGATTTTTCTTATCACAAAACAGTAGTCCGCACTCACTTCCTCACCTGCCTTTCCCTTACTTCTTCTGAGTGAGCTTGCTGATTAATATTTTATAGGTAAAAGCAGCTAAGGAAGCAGCCGCGTTAGCTGCAAAGGAGGCTGACGAGTCCATTTTAGCTAACAGTTCGGAGGATGTGCAAGCTGCACGGGAGCTTTCTGCTGCTGCTAATAATAATGTTGCGAAGTCAAGAAAGGTTGTACTCTGAACTTATCTTGAGTTTGTTTCCCTGTGAAAATTGATTCTCAATGTGTCATATTGAGGAAATAAGAAACATTACAGAGGGGTCACTTTGTTGATGTCAATGGTTGTTGAGAAACCTTATCAAAAAAGAAGCTGATGTTTGTTAATATATGCAAGAGCAAAAAATATTTGAAAAATGGCTTGCGCTTTTATAGGAGTTAAGAGACACTTCTAGAGTCGCTTCTAAATATTTTCATATACACACAATGACTTTGCCACAATAATAACATAAAAGCCTTCTAATTAATAAAAAAGGTCATGCACCTAGATAACATACTGGTTATGCACCTAAATATCCTAAAAGTTACATGGATAGCACCAAAATGCATCTAGTAATTCTAGATATTCAAAATTATATTTTTAACACTCTCCCTTAATTTTGAATTTCTTTTCATATTTTTTTATCACTCTTGATGGTTCTAGCTTCGTTTTCAACATCCTCCTCTCGGTACACCTTACTTTATCCAATTGAGCCACATTTCGCCAAAACCCATTTGCTGCAAAGCGAAGATCAGAAACTGCCAATCCAGATCTTGATTGGCTATAAGTGAAGCATCAATGATTTGCCTTCCTTTAAGAAAAGATTCTGTTGCCCAGCCACCAATTTTTCCATTACTCGTTTTAGTCTTTCTGCTAGCAACTCAGCAATGATCTTGTAGACACTTCCAATGAGACTTATTGGTCTAAAGTCTTTTAATTCTTTACTCCTTTCTTCTTTGGAATTAATACAATAAAAGATGGAATATAAGTCCTCAAACCTGGAGAAGCACCTTCAATGGAGATTATTACTTTATTTGCATTTGTACCTTCCAAGATCGAACCAATGCTCCAACACCACTTGTTAGAATATAAATAGGCTCTTCATAAGCAGAGGATGGAAGAAGGAGATAAAACATAAAGCACACTAGTAATATTATGATAAGCTCCACTTGTTATAACAACAGTGCCAAGAGACATTTCTAGATTCACTCCTTTCACACACACTATGAACTTAGCCCCAATGATAACATAAAAGTCATCTTGATGATAGAAAACATCATGCACATCGATAACATGATGGTTATGCACCTAATCACATAGATATCCTAAAAGTCACGTGATAAACCTAAATGCATTTAGTACTTTTATAATTATAATATTCATAATTATTTTTCTTACACTTAATATGTTCATAAACGTTAATTGCCTACTTTGTCTGTTTTGATCTTTTGTTAGTGATGCATCATTTCTATCATATAAAAAGAAGGGCAAGAATGGTCTATGCTTGTGATTCTTTATTCTTTCTGATAAATCAAATCGTTTATTGCACTAAAATGGTACCAAAAGTTTAAAATTCCATCTGAAGGATTGGCCTTCCAAAATGTCTACCCAACTGTCTTCAACATCTTCTTTACACCTAAAGTACCAAAAAGAATATCAAAGAACTCCTTGTCGTCCATAATTGCTTTTCAACTACATCAAATAATCTCCTGTTCCTCTCTTTATGAACGATCTTAAGCAAGCACAACGGTGCGATCTAGATGTCTTTCCTTCTCCTTATGGTGCTTCTCTTCCAACTTGTTTGGCCTTTTTTATTAAATCTCATCCATTACCATATTCTATGTTGAAGGACGAGTAAATCAAACTCCACAAGCTGGTTAAAGTAGGTGTGATTTGTGTCTTTCCCTGATCCATCCGTCTTAAACATACAACAGCAACTGACTACTACATGTCCTCTCTTCCAAGTTACTTGCCACAAGAATGGCACATGCACGTGAAATTTATTATACACAATAGTTGCTCTTGCGATCTCTTGGAATTAGCTTACCCCTTGCTTTATGATATCATATGCAGGAAAAACGACAGAAAAGGGCTGCAGAACTGAAAAATTCTGGTCCTGCTCAAACCCCTGCAGAAGCAACAAAGCAAATGTTAACTAGGAAGGTATGTATGATAGAGGAAAAGGAACTTACAATCTTCAGAGGTTTGTAGTAGCTGAGGAGACAAGCTTGAGTACTTTCTGGACGCTTGCAATTAATCTTCTAATGTTTCCTTGGATTGTAGTTGCTGTAATCACTCCATTTGCTATTACAAATTTAGTCATCTTGCCTATAGCTGTATATATTTTGACTTGCCATTCTTAGCATAAGTTTCCTGGACTTCAGCTTTGCCGATACAGCAGACTTGCATCATGTTCCAGTTTTTCTTGTTGAGTGTTGGTTTTGTTCAATTTCAACATATCTTAATCATTTCTTTTCCTCTGTCATATGTTTGCACTGCATGGTATATCTTCCTCTTTTTCATGAAACAATATATATCAGATTTATCGGTTGTGTTCTTTGTATCTTACCTTGGCTTTATATTATTTGATGCAGAGGCTGAACTCTAAGATCAACTTTGATGTGCTAGAAAAGCTTTTTGACGAGTCTGTATGTACTTCTCCTACTCCAAAATTTCTACAGAATTTCATTATACCTGCTTTTAATTTCAACTTTACTCGGATATCAATTCCTTTAGCAAAGTATCGTTTTCTCTATTGAAAAAAATCTTCGGTTTTTGCCCTTACTGAAAAGAACATAAGCAGAATGTTCGGTATTGGTGGTGGATGGAGGTAGCTGGCATTTGAGACGCTATTATGCGTAATATTTGGATATTCAAGAAATGGTAGGAAATTAAATAATGAAAACTAAATAATGTGGCATCAAAATATTGTTAATTTATCAGACGTTTCCTTTGCCACTGCTGCTCATCTTTTGATATCTGCTATTAAAGTTCTTGGAGATGCATGTGACAACTCTCTAATACACTCACAATTTTTTTACTTCAGCTTGAGATAAATAATGTGGTATCACATATTTTTTTTTAAATTTAAGCTTGAGATATGAGGAACCCTCAGGCCCCACTTGTGGGATCACACTGGGTATGTTGTTGTAGCTTGAGTATGAGAATAGTTGAGCTCAAAGGAAGAAGTGAGGTCATATGACTGACCCCCAACTTATTTGGGACTGAGGCGTAGTAATAGCAGTAATAGTTGTTATTGTTGTTGTAGCTTGAGATAAGAGAATCTATCCCGAGATATAAATTGTTCTATCCCGTTCAGCGGATACTGAATCAATAGTTTCTTGAAAAAGGAGTAAGCTATGGTTAATCTTTGGATTTGATCTTTAGTTCAGCTCCTTGATTTCCCTATTATTAACATTGTAGGATTATAAAAAGACTGATAACTCCTGGTAGGGATCTCAACTAGATAAGAATTCCCAGAGTGCTTAAATTTTGACTTTAATTATATATAAAGGGGAGGGGAAACGGGGAAAGGGATTACAAGATGAGGAATCGAACCTCACCAACAAGGTAAAAATTCAAGTAGCCAACCAACTGAACTAGTAAGATTCTCCGCACCCTAAAGTTTTGAAGTTGCAGGATGTGCATTTGTTCATCTATAGGACAAATTACACAAATCTAAAGCATTTGTTGCTCTCATCTCCATAAATATGTTTAACTTGATCATGTTATTTATACAGGCAATTCGAGATAGCAAAATTGATCCCGAAGTAGACGAGACGTACGAAGAACCATATGCGTTACGATGAGGATGTTGGAGGATATGAATATGATTATGACTAATATTGAATTAATCTGCATTCCTTATTATTAACTTAATGATTTCCCCTTACAAAAAGAGTATATGAGAAGTCAGGTAACACATTTTCCTTCACTTGTATATTAGGAATTGTTGGTCCTGGTAGCCAATTGAATGTCAAAGTTATTAGTATGTTTTAATTATATCAATGACTAATTTATTTCCTGGGAACACCTCCCTGTACTGGAATATGAGATCTTATTCCATTCTTTCCTACTTATAACTGAAGTTTGCATAATTGAAATTGAAAGACTTCCCTTTCCATGAATGAGAGATGTAAAAAAAACTGTGTACCAAAATATTTTCCACAATCAAACAAAATATAGTTTTTCACCCAACAAGAAGCTCAATGTGGTTCAATGGGTGGGGTCTAGGGAGGGTAGTGTATATGTAGATCTCAACCCTATGTTGTGAAGGTAGAGATGTTATTTTCGTCAGACCCTCGGCTTAAGAAAAGCATGTAAAGAATTTAAAAGCATGTAAAGAAAAGAAATTGGTGAGATTCTTATTTTTTCCGTAATAGATTGGTGACATTCAGTATACATGTACCATTACGTCTTTTTTTTTTTCCTTCTAATTCTAGAAAAATTACTCACATCTCGAATTTGCTATTTTTACATTGACGGCTGGTCTATCGTAAACCTCTTGTATTTGAGCTTGAGATCGGCAATATAAGCAAGGACACACATGCGTAGTCAACTAAAGTTGAGGCGTAGTAATTATTGTTGCACTATTATCACCAAAAAAAATGATTCAGAAATGCGTAGACATAGTGTTATATCATCTCGAACAATTTTTTAAAAATTTTAAGAAATCCAAGGAAACATTCTCAATAATTGTAGATAAAAGTTTTCCCAAAATAGGAGTACAAGTCTACTTAAAGACAAAAATGAGGAAAGTTTTCAAAAAGTGCAAGAATTGTTCAAAACAGTGAACCTAAATATAAACTCAATATTTTGTTACAAGCTCAATTCCAACTCACTCTTAAAACCAATTAGAAATCATCTCCTTATCCATAATCTTATTTTTTGTACAGATTCTCTTTTTCATCCTATATAATATAATAATGGACACTTCAAAAGTAAACAGAATCTTTGAAACATCCAAAAAAATAATTTATAAAAAGTGAATAAAAAGATTGAACTTTTCTTCTAGATTTCTCTTTTTTTAACCAAAAACAAAAAGTTCAATTATTGTGAGCCAATCTCTATCCTTTCTTTCATCGGCAAAGCAACATTAAAAAATTCATCCAAAGCTCTAACAGAAGATCCTTTGTAATCATCCTCATCTTTAGCAGCATCTTTAATCATTTCTTTAATTTCACAAGCTTTACCTCTTAATCTTTTCCCCTTTTCACTTTCACCCATAACTAACTCAATCTTTTCAATTATGTCCCCATATCTTACATCAAAAGTTGTCCCTCTAGCCATTTCCACACAAACACCAATTTCTTCTTCCAATAACTTAGCATTAAAAAATTGATCAGCTGCCATTGGCCATCCAATTAATGGAACCCCATTAATAAGTGATTCAAGAACTGAATTCCAACCACAATTACTTAAAAATCCACCAATTGATTCATGTGCCAAGATTTCAACTTGAGGTGCCCAATTTAACACTATTAGTCCTCTTTGTTCATTTTCTTGAACTGTTTGAATAAACCCTTCTGGTAACCATTCTTCTGGTTTAAATTCAGCATTTATATCAAATCCTAAAGGTGGTCTAATTACCCAAATGAAATTTATTTCAAGACCATCTAATGCTTTTGCTAACTGCATCATTTGAGATGCTGAGATTGCATTTTGTGAACCAAAACATATGTAAAGAACTGTTTTTTTCTCCTTTCTATTCAACCATTCTTTGCATATATCTAAGGAAATTCCTAGATCTTTCCTAGGACTTACTCTATCATTTTCTTGCAAAAGTATTGGTCCTATTGCCCAAACTGGTATACATAATTTCCTTCTAAAATACATCAATCCATTTTTGTCAAACTCTTCAACTGTATTGAAAAGAACTCCATCTGAATTTTTCCAAGTTGGAAGATTTTTCAACTGGAAAATTGAATAAGGATCATTACCATCTGCTATTGCTAGACTAGGTGACAATTGTGTCACATGAAATTTTCCAGCTTCTTGAAAATCAGGCAGTATAAACTCGAGTTTATCGGTATGTCTGTGAGGTAAATTTAACCACATAGAGTAATAACAAGCTAATCCAAATCCACTAGTACCACAAAAAATAGCATGGAAAATTCCAAATTCATGAGTTACCTTAGCTGACCATCCAAAAAAGAAATCTGCTATAACACAAATTGGTTTCTTGAAAAATCCAATCTTTTCCTCAACAAGATCACTTAGAATTTTCTTGAAATTAGGTTCAAGTGTAGGGGATACTTCAAGAAGCTTGAAAACTTGATTATAAGGGAGAGAATCAGTGATTTCAGCATCTAGTGGAAGTCCATATTTAGTACTGTCAAAAGGCATTTCAAGAAAGTGAATTGAAGAGTTCGTAGGGAGTGATGATTTGAGTTTCTTGATGTTTAGTGGTGTATTTATGAAGATGATTTGATATCCCTTTTGTTCAAGTTTGAAAGCCAAGGCTAAGAAAGGGATTATGTGGCCTTGTGCCATGAAAGGGAAGAGGACTATGTTACCTTTTTTTCCTTCCATAGTTTGTAAGAAGAAGAAGAAGAAGATGATGATGATGATGATGATGGGAAAATCGGAGGAAAAGAAGAATGAATTTTCTAAATAGGAAATGAAAGTTGTCCTTTTATCCTTGTTGGATTATTAATTGAGTTCCTATAGAGGTTTTTGACTTTTCATGTATATCATCATTTGGACCATCAAACCATCAAATCTTACTAGTTAGTGATGTCGATGAGAGTTTTTTATACAATACAATGGGTGTAAATTTAGTGGGCGTTTGGACATAAGAATTGTAAAATTTCAAAAAAAAATAAAAAAAGTTTTTTAAGTGAAAAGGTATTTGAAAATTAGAGTTGTGTTTGGATATGAATATAATTTTAGGTTATTTTTAGATTTTTGTGAGTGGTCTGAGCACGAAAATTTTGAAAAATAACTTTTTGGAGCTTTTCAAATTTTTAAAAAATTTCAAAATTTATCTGAAAATTAAAAGTTTTATGGGCATTTTCAGAATAGGGGAGACTAGGTGAGGGGTGAGCCTTCTGTCTGATTCAATTTTGAGATAAAAAAAAAGTTTTAAAAAAATCGAAAAAAAAATAATTCATGGCCAAACGGACTCTTAATTCTTATTGTCCTTTTTCTCCATTTTCCTTCCCAATCCCTCTAAGCAATTAGATATTTAAAAAAAGAAGAAAAAAGAATGTGTTATTAGAGATAAAAGGAGGACCATAAAATTGAGAAACTTTTTTCCCCATTATTGTAAACTTGGTGATAGGGGTCTTCCCAATTCTGGACTTCTCCTGATAGATAAGGCAATAGTAAAAGATATCAACATCATTAATTTAAAAGAATAATATTAATCCAGATTATAAATATTCAAACCAGTAATTTTGGACCTTTTCTCATTTCATTTCTACCTTACAATAACTACGCATGAATTTCACATTTACTTAATATAATTTTAAAGGAAATTCAATTATTGTATTATCTAATTTTTGTTGTCATAAACATTTATAAAAAAACATTTATTTCATTATTTATAACGTTTTTATATCTTAACATTAACAAGTCATTATTAGACCCTGCATGTCATAAGACAAAAGACAAAGCGTAATTTTTTTTAATGAAAAAACCCACATTTAGATCCACATCCATTTAAATACAATCAGACCTATATTCGTGCTTAATCAAAGAAAGGAGAGGGGAAAGTGTACGCAAATTTTACCCCTGCCTTCAGTAAGGCGGAGAGGTTGTTTCCGATAAACCCTCGGCTCCGTACGGGGAGAGAGGAAGGGCAATAACAAGCAAACTGATCTAACAACCGTAGCAGAAATACAAAACTAACAGTAGGCAATGCAATCAAGAAACCGAGACACAAGAGAACAACAAGTAGTAACATAAGTCCTGGGGTACGAAAAAAAACACAAAAGCCACCAAGTGATGTATCAAAGCTATTGCTACAAATAAGCATAACACTCGGCCACCTAACCCTCTACCTTTATTCTCAACCTTCACACCTTCCTATCCACGGTCATGTCCTTAGTGAGCTGGAACAACGTCATATCTTGCCTAATCACCTCTCCCCAATACTTCTTCAGCCTGCGTCTACCTCTTTGTTGGCCCTCCCATGCCAGCCTGCAACACCTCCTCACTGGAGCATCAGTGACTCTCCTCTTCAAATGACCGAACCATCTAAGTCTCGCCTCCCGCATCTTGTCCTCCACCGAAAAATTTCACAAAAGACAAATTGCATGTAACTACTCATGATAAATGAACTTAGTAGCTTAAAAATAACACAATCTACTAGTACTAACATGTTAAATCATACAGGTTTTGAAAAACTTTTAGTACTATCGGTGTATATATATTAGATCCTTTCCAAATTCCTGATAATGCTCAGTCAAACCTTCAAGTAATAAAGCAAGATTGCCACTTTTTAAAAATTTATCATCAAAGTCTCAACGACAAGAAGCCTACTTCGGGCTCAAACAACCACACTGATTCTACTTTCCATGGGAATGTGGGGGGGCNGACTGGGGGACTCAAGAACATACAAATCATAAGCAAGAAGTTTTTCTTCTAATATAAGTTCCTGCAGTTAACACATTCGTAAGGGCACACGTAATACTCTCTGATATGGTGAAGTCGACATTACAATCTGCAGAAGAATGATGGTTGAATAGTTCAACACTTCAACTAGTTCTTTGTATACACGAGAAGAATAGGCCATAGGAACATCTAGATCAGCCATCTAATTTTCGGCGCCACTCCACCAAAAGCTAACTGAAAAGCTTGTCGTGAGAGAGCGGACGTAGTGCCACCACTTAGGGGGGATGTAAAGCATCTCACCTTCCTCTAAAATGCAGTCCTGAAACTCCAGGTCTAATATCTTCGGGAACTCTTTCTCATCGATGTTGTCTAGATCAACCTTCAAACAAGATTTCAAATGTAAGACGATAAGCTGGGCTACATCAACCATCTAAAGGAAGCAACAACCATTAAATTAAGGGCAAAACGATATCATAAGTTCATCAAAGAGAG